TTCCTGGTACTCATTTCTGTTAAAGGCTGAGTCGACCCCAGGGCCATAGTGGCGGCTGGAAGGATTAGGTCAATTGAAAGTAAAATTATTCCATGACCTCTTCGGGAATCGAACCCCGAAATTCCGGTTTATAGTTTAATGCTTCAACCAACTACGCTATAGCGTGCCCATTGTCCTCTTAATATTTCTCTCCTCCCATTCGTGCCCCTGTTATTGTTCTCCGTCCTCTTCTCTCAGTTGTTTGTATTCTCAGTATAACTCAGTCAGTACAGCGACGGGCTACAGGCTGGAGGGCCGGGGTTGGATTTCCTGCAGAGGTAAGATTTTACTCTTCTCCATAGAGTGTAGACCGGCTCTGGAGCCCGCCCAGCCTCCTTTTCAAAGGGTACCGGAGGCACTTCCCTGGGGTAAAGCGGCCAGGGTGCAAAGCTAGCCGCTCATCTTCCTCTAGCGCAGAGGTCAAGAATGGTGGAGCTATACCTCCAATCCCCAGTATGTCTTCCTAGCAGAAAGCTTAATTACTTAAGCACAGGTACAACTTATTATTATCTCTCATTTTTTATTCCCAATTTTCCTATCCATGTTCTTATATCTCTACTTCCTTCTCCGCACAAATGTTTTCTGGCTCCAAAAGAATTAAAAGAAAACATTTTATTTTTCAGATTTGGTCGCAAGGAGCCCCTGGTTGTGGCTTGCGTGATGCAGGCAGTGTTCGGGTCTGCGTGCGCATTCATACCCTGGTTCGAAGGATTCCTGGTGATGCGGTTTCTTACAGCAGCTGCTGTTGGGGGCTCCATGGTCACAAGTTTCGTCATCTGTAAGTATGTGCTTCTCTAACGAAGGCTGGTCATACTCCCACTGCGACGTGTGGCAATGAGCAGTCTTTTTATTTCCCAATGGCTCTTCCAGCCCATTCAGGGCCCAGGCCTCTTATTCATTTTTCAAAGATGGTAGTACTCCTTGGACGAGTGATCAGCCGTCGCAAGGCCTCTACCTAAACACAAGGCAACACAAACAGAGAATAAACGCATACACACACCAAATATCCTTGCCTTAAGTGGAATTAGAACCCACGATCCCAGCGTCCGAACGAGGAAGGCAGTTCATGCCTTAGATCGCGCGGCTACTGGGACCGGAAGTGAGCAGTCTAGGTACCAATATATTTAAGAGTATAATTCCAAAGAAGCACAATTACTTACGAGAAGGATCTGCACTATTACAGTACTTTGTACTAACATTCACAATTGATATAACAGCCTTCTTTTAGCATCATAATTTGGAAAATTTTCAGTCTATTCAGAACATAAGTACCTTTTTTCTACAAACGTCCGCGCTCTATTGTTATTTACACACGCTGGTGGATTGCACGCAACAGAAGGACGTCATTCAATACTACGTGTAACAGATTTCCTGTCTCCGCAGGAAACATTCTACAGTTGAAGCTTTTTACTCCACTGACAATTAGCTTTAAATTTTTCTTACATTTTTCTACTTAAATCTTCTAGCTCTGAATGTGGAATACAATCTCAAAAGCTCAGATGTAGACAGAAGTTTTATTGGACATTGCATAATGCTTCCGGTAAAATCGGCCAGTTACTTCACGACTGGCGGTTTGCCGTCAATTTGTTCGTCTTGGCGACAAGCCTCTTGAGACTCACGATCAATTCTTTTTAGCTGGACACTTGGCGGTAACTTATGTAACATCTTTACTGACGAGAGAATGGGTCTGTCGTTCACAATTGTTGCTGGCACTCACCAGCGCAGTCATTCTTAGGTCTGGAGTCCCGTGGGACTCCAGACCACATTTTACTGTCTCGGATTCGACACTGCTACAACCTGGAGGGCCAGGTCCCCGTATTTATATCCCCGAGGGACAGGGTGGCTCAATTATACCCCCAGGCACAGGGTTCCATTTTCGTCGCCTCCTAAGACTCGCAGGGCAAATATCAATGCAGGCGCCGCGTATATTCATTAAATCGTGACAATGTAATGACAACAACTACTGTATATATAAAATGTATTTCACGCTATGGACAATTTTCAGAATAGCTGTGGTGTAATAACAGCAGCTTATTGCAAAACCTTTGAAGAATATGCAGCCGACGTATTAGATAACGTCTTCCACAAACCCGACATCGGGTTACAGGACAAGAAGCAAAGCTTACCCGGTAATCATCTGTCTTGTTCAAACTGTCTAGAAAATGTGGGAACCTCGACCACTCACATTCCCAAGGGACTTCACGACCTCTTACTGGGACACCTTTAACTTGAAATAAACGGAAAGAATATTTCTCACCCTAAGAGCTACATAGCCATAAGCTCAATTAGGTTAGATTCAAGGTTCTCACAGCAGTGGCTATAAAGAGTTCTATCTTCAGGGATATTAGGCTGTGTAGTCCGGGGAAAATCAGTCGATCTCTCGGAGGAATATATTGAGTGCATTTCCAAGGCCGAGAAAAAAGCCATACAAAAAGCAGCATAAATTTCTTCTTGCTTCCATCTGCATGCTTGTTTCTTGTTTGTCTTACCTTCGATCCTGAAGATGGAAGCTATATATTCCCCCAAAACATCCGTCGTCGACCCTCACCGGACTATATGGCATTATTACTCAGAAGATAAATATCCTTAAGTGTCACTGACTTTGTAACAATGCTTGAACGTCTGTAATGAAAGCACATCAAAGCTAATGATATGTGAGATGATCGAAAAATTAATCAGTGAAATATTAGTAGTAGTCCAGTTTTTCTTCCTGTGCATTTTTCGACTTTAGTCTGTGTCTTTGTCTGTTTTTACTTACAGGCATGGAGATTCTGGGAGGATGGTGGAGAATGGCCTTCTCTGTTTTATTTCACTTGCCTTTCAGTGTGGGACATGCAACCCTACCGGCCATTGCTTACTTCGCCAAGGACTGGCACATATTCCAGTTGGCCATATCTCTGCCTTCAATTCTCTCATTGGTTTATTGGTGGTAAGAGAATAAACTGTGATATTTCCATACAAGCCTGTTTTCGACATAACCATTGAACCAGCTCCATAGAGCTAATTTACTTCTGTTTTCAGAACAGTCACAGAAATTCCAATTCTTCATCCCGTCGAAGAGGAGGCATAATTTAAAACACATAAAGAGTTTTGAAAAAAAGAAAGGTCTTGGGTTCCGGTGGGGCCCGAAACCAAGAATGACTCTGCTGGCGAAGAAGGAAATTACTGTTCTGTTTAGTTCCATGGAGTTAAGCCCTTTTGAGAAGCCACCATTTGTTTTACTGCTTAAAAATTTCTCAATATTTTATGGCTGCAGCCTGCAGCCAACTTCTCAAGCTGGTTCCTCGCTCGCGGATTTTTATACCTTGAAGATAGAGGCTATACGTTCCTCCGAAATGTCGGTTCACAGAAGATCTACAAGGCGCCACATCCTAGAATGCGGCAGTCTTCTTAGTCACCGCCGTGAAAACCTCAAACCTTAAGTAGAATAAATCTCCCCGTTTTTCAAACTATAAATGTTGTAATTCAATTAATAATAAGTTTAAACATGGTTAGTTGATTCAAAATAGTATCAGAGACATGAAAGAAATTTTTGTTATAGGGTAATCCCTGAATCGCCACGCTGGCTGCTGGCAGTTGGCAGGGACGACAAAGCAATCGAGATTCTGGACCGGGCCGCCAGGATCAACAAGTTAGACACTTCGACTCTAGCACAGAGAATACAATCGATCAGCATTCACAAGGTACATCTTAAGTCTAATGCTCATATTACTCGCATTTTATCTCGTAAAATGTCAAACTCCATGTTCCCAGAAAAGCCTAATCAGACAGATACAGTACAGAAGCACAATATAGAGATGGCATATTATTACGATCTACAGCTCTTGTTTGATGAATATTCAATGAAATAAGAGGGAAAACAATTTCACACTCTAGTTGGTGTGAACAGCTTTGTAACGATTCGTTTGTACCTTCAAAGTAATGCAACTGATTTACGACGTTCTTTTATCATTGTACATATATTTAGTAGTGTTATACAGTAATATACGTGTACTATTCTTAATAACTAACCTTTATAGAAAATATGGTGACAGATAATATGATTTAATGTATATCTATCTATGGCTCTACAGCCCTTGTGGACCTTGGCCGCTTCTTTTAGATTCTTAGTGTAGGAACACACACAGAGACATCGGTCGTACGGAAAAATGTCTTACGATTTTTTTGCCGTACGACCTCCTTTTCATACTAGAGCGACCAAATACATTTCTTTGCTCTCCGACTGTCGTACGGTAGATGTCGCATGTCGTCACGTATGAAAGCTAAGACTACACTTTATATTCTACTACTTGATGCGACATGAACCGTACGGACGTAGTACGACCGATGTCGCTGTGTGTTCCCATCCCTTAGTCTTGTACACAATCGGTATGACTCCGTCCCAAGGCCGCTACATACACACAGAACAACACAAACACAGAATCAGCGCACAGACACATCCATGCCTTGAGTGGGATTCGAACTCACGATCCCAGTGTTTGAGCGGGTGAAGACGGTTCATGTCGTATATCGCGCGGCCACTGTAATCGGCATTTAACATATACATGCATATAAAATTACTTAAATTTTCAATATAGCGCCGTATGAATTAGTAGAATTAGTATGCTACACAAACATAAATAAAGAAGATCTTCAAGTAAAGGAGTGAAAACTATTTCAGACAGATGTCCTACATACAGAAGATTTCAGTAACATTACACAATTAAACGAAGAAAAAGAACCTTAATTGTAGGGGTACAAGATTTTCGTCAGTAATACATGAACATGAAAACCAGAGAGATAAACTTATGCAATACATAAGAGGGCGCACCCGAAACTGGGAGCCATATTCCCCCTCTAGCTAAGTACATATAACTAATCCAGTGTCTGCATACTTTATAGAACAAGACCAAGGATGTTGAGAATATGAAAAAGGCGAACATCCTGGACTTGTTCAGGACGCCTAACATGCGCCTCAAGACTGTCTGCATGTACTTCATCTGGGTTGTCTGCGGTCTCTGCTTCTATGGGCTCTCGCAGTACATGGGCCAAATCGGGGGCAACATCTTCATCAACGTCGCCATTTCCGGTTAGTTCTTCTCTATCAAGGCCGGCCGGATTTAAGGGGAGGGACCAGGGCGATCACCCCTGGGTCTCCACAAAACAGAAATAGTAAAAATTGCTTCTATAAAATCACGAAAAGTTAGCTTGTATTTCCGGTTATTATAAGAATCTTAAAGAGAGGAATTCTTGATACTGATAGGGGCCTTCACGTTGTGGTCCCCCCCACCCGCCCAATTGTAAATCCTACCCTGGCACCTAGCCATGGATAGCTGAAGTAAATGAAAATATTTCTATATGTTTAAAAACAACTGTGCTCAGTTAATTCTTGTTAATCTTCCTCTTGTGCTTAAGTATCAGCAAACTCAGCTCCTGTATCAGCTTCGAAACCCTAAATTCAGCGCCATATTATTTTCTTCTTACTTTTCGCCCTGTAGATTTACAAATCTATACCGTCCTCGGCCTTCTGTCTTTACTTATTTCTTTACCCATATGCAACAAGTCTTCAACTGTAAGAACAAAAGCAGTAGTGGAGTAGTTTATATACGCGAGATCCCGGGATCAGTTCTCGGATAGGAGACTAATATTCTGAGAACGGTCGTGTATTTTATTATATATTATTATATTTTATTATAGCGCTGCCGCTGCTACGGTAACAGGCCAGTAAACACTTCGCCCTCCCTCCCCCGAGGTAACGTAACGGCACTTCCCACTGTGACGTAACAGGGGACAACGCTGGTAACACGAGGAAACAGGGAACGGTATATAAAGGTTTCTTCCTTCCACATCCCTCCCAATTCATCAGTCACAAACAAGCTATTCCCTCTAAGAGAACAGTATGCGACACCGGCCGGAACCACTGCAGAATATTCCGTCACCTCTGACAAAGTTAGAACTTGTGTATGTGACGAATATTAAGATGGCGCTGTTGTGTAGAGTCCTCGTTAAATTTTCCTCTGCACAGCGTAAAGACTTTACTGTTGCCCTCAGTCCTTTCAAATACGGAATATTAAGGACACACAACTGACACATACAATTAACACGAGCTAAAAACATATTTGAACTCAACTACATTATATTTTTAATGTAAATATACACATAGACTACATAGCCCGAATACATTTACAATATATTCTCGCGGGACAGCTTCGAAATATTCTTGGGCCGGATCAGGTTAGTAGTCAGGCTTTGCACATCCCTGGTGTGGGGCTGCTAGTGCTAAACCCTACTATTACTGGAGGAGACCGTTTCGAACTTTGTCACGAAATGGCAATTCTGATATTTCCGTCTGTTTTCAATACCTGGTAAATACAGAGTAGGAATTGCATAATCTACGTCTAGGTACAGAGATTTAGTGAGTAAAGCGGTCCTTACAATACACCCGCCTCAGCGAGATTAAGAAAGGTGCGACGAAGTCGAATGTAGGTCAACCATACGGCGTTTTTTTTATTGAAACTGGCCAAGTAGTTTGGTTGCTGTTGCTTACAGCAGATGGAGGAATATACGGATATATCAACAGTGAAAAGCGGTTTTCAGAACGCACACAAGAACTAACACATTCCTTAAAATGTACACATTTTATGAAGTATCTTCACATTACCTGGAACTGAACGAAGTTATTGGTAAAAAGATCCAACGAATGCTATGTCGTAACGCATCAGGCTCTGATCAAATTCTGGGAACGCAGGATTCAAGTTGTTACAAATCGAAATTTTTCATTCATCTGAAACTTCAGACTTTACTGAAATGGGACTTGACATAAAAAAGTCATCAGTTATAAATATTCTATGATGAAAATAGGAAAAAATTGTGGTAATTTCAAAATTTTTAATCAGAATAACACACAATCTGCGAAAAAATCCTATGATTTTCGAAGTAGATCCACTTAACTCTTACTAATTTTGTAATTTTTTGCCCTAAAACTGCTTCAGTAACTCAGTTCATGCAGTGATTTCTTCTCCTATGTCAGGCGTCCAAAAGACTTAAAAGAGGACCATGACACAATTGACCTAAGCATTTTTTACACTAGACTCTTCATTGAAGAAGAGAGAATTTTCACTTTCTCATAGAATAACAAATGTTTACCTAACAAATTTGTGGTTCTATGAGAGCGTGAAAGTGCAAGACATCTGAGGATAATTACACTAGTAAACATATTCATATTTTATTTTTCAACGCTCTTTCAACTGTATAGGTTGTATAGCATGATCATGGCCTCTTCCGGCATTGGCCAGAACACCACAGAATAAAAGGAACACAAGATGACCAGAACATAAGACCAGAGAGTTACAGATAAAATAAGATATTTAGTATAAGCAAAGAGATAACGAGTCAAGCGACACTCTAACCAACAGGTTTAATAGACAAGGAAGAGAGGGTACGTACTGGCAAATTTCCAGTCGTAAGTTACGCTTTGTATCTTGAAACTGGGTTACTCACTGCAGCAAAACACCTTCTCCGACAGTACCCTTTCTCTCCAGGTCAATATTACCACATACCATTCTCATTTCCTCACTTCAAATTTCACCCATCCCCACACATTGTAAAGCTGTACCAATGATGACTGTTAATGTTTCTTTGTGCCCAGGCATCACGCCATGGAGGCATATATGGCGGGTTTCGTCTATATTTCATATAGTCTAGGTACAGTTCATTGAAACGAGTGACCAGCCTCGCATTTCTGCCGCAATCCCTTCGGTAATGCTTGGTTGCACCTGCACAGCGCACGGTGCCTATAGTTCAGGGAATTTCGGATCATTCTGCTTGGTACCGTAACTAAAGGAGCTGAGTCCGTTCTGAGAACCTGCCAATTGTGTAGCTACTCAAGAACTTCCTAGAATTTTACTGAAACCGAATGTTCATTCCCGTGTTCACCAAAGCCTTCCACTGGCCACATATCCTGAGCCAGATCAATTCAGTTCATACCACCCCATCCTATCTCTCTATGATCCATTTTAATATTATCCACCGACCTACATCTTGGTCTGCCTAGTGGTCTCTTTCCTTCTCGCTTTCCTGCCAATATCCTACATGCATTCATCTTCTTTCCATTTATGCTACATGCCCTGCCCATCTCATCCTCCTTGACTTGATCGTACAAGTTATGAAGTTCCTCATTATGCAGTTTTCTCCAACTTCCTGTCACTTCATTTCTCTTCAATTCAAATATTTTCTTCAGAACCCTGTTCTCGAACACCCTTAGTCTATATTCCCCCCTTAATGTCATAGACCAAGTTTCAAACCCTTGCAGAACCACAGGCAAAATTATAATTCTGTATATTCCGATGTTTCTAGACATCAAACAAGAGGACAAAAAATTCTGGACCGAATGGTAGCAAACATTACCCGAATTGCAGTCCCTCTTAATTTCTTCAGGAATCAAATTTTGATTTGTTACTGTTGTTCTCAAACATGTGAATTGTGACAAATTTTCAAAGGATCTGTTTTTAGCTGCCCTGCATTCTAGTGAGGGGACAACAATATACTTAGTTTTCTTTGCGTTCACTTCTAGACCAACCTCCTTACTAGCGTCTGTGCTTGCTTCCATATGTTTATAATAATTAAATCAAACCTCTTCCATGGAGGACGGCGATTTACGTTCTATATGCATTTGTGACCTATTTACTGACTCCCTCGTAGCTGCGCCGTGGTGGTAGATCAGTGTGTTGAAGGCCTAAGGCGGCCCATACACACGCGTGTCTGGCTCGCGAGTCCGGCTCGGCGATGAGCCGGACTCGGATTAATTTCACCACACACGTATGAGCGTGGCGCCCCACACACTGACGTGTTTGGCTCATTGGAACCCGAGCCGAGTCGGATTCGCGAGCCAGACTCGTACGTGTATGGGCCCCATAACACTGCACTATGACGTATCATCAAAGAACGTGTAAGGAATTTCAAAAGAAAATTAGACAAAATTTAAAAAATTAGATAAAAATTATTTCTCTTACGTAACGTGTTTTTAATCTGTTCCTCAGGTTTAATCTCTCTCCCTGGAATGTCAAGCTGTATATACCTGATGGGGAGATTCGGGCGGAAAAGAACAATTCTCTCCTCGCTAATGCTCGCAGCGGTTTCTTGTCTCCTCATCATGGCGGTGCCTCAAAGTAAGTCTTTTGTTTATTCCGTCCATTGCTACACTCTCCTTGTATGATTAATTTATAGAAATAAAAGAAACAAAAAATACAATTTTACACGTTGCTGTGTACGGGTGTGAAACTTGGTTTATAATCTGAAAGCGTTCAGAATGAGGAGCTGAGGAGAATACATGGACCTAAGAGAGAAGACATATCAGTATGGACGGGGGAAATTACATGATATTTTAAATATAATTTACATAAAAATGGATCGAAACACTAGCTCTAGAAGCAGAAACAGCAGTTAATCAGTTAGATACAATAGAGCGGAATTATTATAGACATGCAGTTGCAAAAAGCTTAAAAAATATCAGCCAACGTAATAGTATATTAAGTGAGAAAATCAAAAACAAAAATGAATGGAAAATCATATGTAATATAAAACAGAAAATGGAAGCAAATAATCTCATAGTAACGAAGGCAGACAAAGGAAAAACATTAATAATACACCCCCCCCCCAAAATAATTAAAGTTGTATTATTGACTGATACGTCAGTAGAATAAGACAATGTCTCAATAGAGCGGGGTGCTGAAATATAATGCATAGTAAGGGACTTCAGAATCAAACCAGTGGGGGTAAGGTGGGCGAGATATACAGCGAAAGGGGAGAGATCACAAGTATATAAATTTGTCAGAAATCCTAGACGGTTGATATCATTGGGAAACCCATGAGTATGTGGGAAGATAATATTAACATGGATATTAAAATAAATAAAATTGGAGGCTGTGGCCTGGCGTAATCTGGCTTAGTATAAATTTCAGTGCCGGGCTCTTATGAACACCGTAATGAAATTTCCGGTTAGCTAAAGAGATTGATATTTCCTCGACTAGCTGATAGAGTTCCGAGCGGTCTAAGGCATGTACTGTCTTTGCTCGCTTGGAAACCGGGATCGTGGGTTCGAATCCCACTCAGGGCATGGATGTTAATTTGTGTGTGTGCATTTCTCTGTGTTTGTGTACAGGTGGAGGCCTTGCGACGAGCTGATCACCCGCCAAAGGAGTCCTACCTAATGTGTAAGATCTAGAAAAACCGATGTGAACGGAGAAGTTCATGGAGGTAGGCCTAGGCCCACTGGGGCTGTAGTGCCAAGGAAAAAAAAGAAAAGAAAAGGTGATAGAGTTCTTAGATTTCTGGGACCCTGCTTCAAGGAGCTAGTCTGAGTAATTACGTTACAAAATAAAATGTACTCCATTTAAAAACATCAGGTCATGTTCAAGAGAGAAAGGTTTGCTTGAAAATAGGGAAACAGAGGCGTAAAAATATGAGTATTATTTTCTGGACAATATCCATCGTCCTGTTTTAATTAAAATTATGACGATGAATGATGTCCAGAAGCATGTTGTTTATTGGTGCACGATTGTCACAAACTTCTAAATAGTATAAACAAAGAGGTCTTCAGAATAAATCGAATCAGAAGGGAATCAAGAAGAAGCATCATGACTCTTTGAATATTAAAAATAAAACGTTAAAAATAAGATTATGATAATCTTGTTTTGCAAGTAGCTGAAACTTCATCTGTCAGATTGAGGGAAGAATGTGGCACCGATGTGAGTGCTTTTTAAAACAGAATGTCGAGGAGAATAGTATTTCGACTAGTAACAGAAAGCCGGGTAAAGGTAGATAATGAGGATTTTCGTTAATTTGACTCTTCGCCAAATAGAGGGGATAATAAAATCAAGGAGGCTGGGATCAGCAGGACATGGGGCAGATGATTAAGTACAATACACACAATTTTTTTGTAGAAAAAATTTCACAGAAAAATATCTGTGGAAGGAATTGTTGTAGATGGGAGGCTAGCATACTAATACAATGAATTCTAAGGAAATGAGGGTATAGATTGGATTAAACTGGATCGCGGTGGGATACAGTGAAAACGCGAACGCTAATAAAACTTCGGGTTCCACAAAAGTAGGGATTTAATTTACCAACCGGGCACGTCGAAGATGGACCAACTCTCTCGAATGTCCGCGAGAAGTAATTCAATTCATGTGAAGGCCGCCTTCTCTGTCGAGAACTTGAGGACAGGCATTAAGTCCGACTGTCACAGCGAAGCTGAAAATGAATATTGTTTGTTTTCAGCGCCGGAGTGGCCCAAAGCGACGCTGGCAGCGTTGGGAATCTTTGGGATGTCTGTGGCCTTCCCCACTGCATACCTCTACGCCGCAGAACTGTTTCCCACCGTGGTGCGAAACGTGGGACTCGGGTCTTCTTCCATGTGCGCCCGCTTCGGATCTATGGTTGCGCCCTACGTCACCTCTCTGGCGAGTACCGAATCACTTTCAAATCCTCCTTGCAATTTTAAATATTGATTGACGGCTGATTCCAGTATTTTTGAGAGGAACATCTCTCTGATCCCTCAGCCTTCTGACTGATACTTAATGATGTTTTCACCTGCTCGGATCTCGCAGCGTAGAATGAAATGGGAAAATGATTGTGAAATAAGGATTTTGGAAAGAGACGGTAAAATTGCAGACGCTCTAAGATGGGTATTGCTCTTTATCTTCACTGCTATGATTGATTATTAATGACGATTTTCAACTGCTCAAATCACAGCGCAGAAAGAAATGGAAGATATTTATGCATCATATGAAAAAGTAAAATGTTCGGAAGGAGAAAAATATTATGTTTTTGGACATTATCCACCGTCTTGTCTTCGTCTAAAAACCGTCCTGTTTTCATTTCAAAACAATGTTTCGGAGACTGGATTCTGTCTTCGAAACATTGCGTTTTGAAAAATAAACAGAACGGATTTTAGAGGGTGACAAGACGGTGGATAATGTTCAGAAACAAAATATTTGTATTAATGTACCGTCGTCACAGACTTTTAGATCTTATTTGGGAAAGAGATGATAAAATTTCTGTCACAGCATTCACTTAGACTGAGGGAGTCTACAAAAAGAAACTTCTATCAGGAGAGTTAGGCCTATGTCAGTTATATGTATTTCTATCTGCCTAACATCACTGGCCCTATGTATAAAAAATGTTACACTACACTAAACCAGATACTATAGATACTGTTTCCAACTTCAAACAGGTTCTGATCGACATTTTAGTGTCAAAACTGCCAATGATCTACCACCCCCTCCTATCGTCGTACCTCGCTTTAAGCAAAAATATGGGTAAAAATAACACGACACATGATTCTTGCTGTAAAAGCAACATACGTCGAAAGTATGGACTTACCTTGTTCGTTACGAACAGCAAAATAGGAATGACTAATACGTATTTTGCCTTCAAAATCTGAATATAATCATATTATATTACAAGTGAATTTACATGCTTTTCACGCATAATTTCCTTATAGGCTTATGAAATCAATCAAAAATCGTCCCGCGATCGACGCGCTGGACATGCCTGCTATAGGGTTCTGACGATGGTGTATAACACACAGAGATACTGGGTTTTCGGACTTTTTCCATCGTCCGGATTGTAAATAACTAAGAAAAAAACACAACATTTCGGAAACTGGATCTGTTTCCGTCCTCAGGTGAGGGAAGACGCTTTGAGGCTAGCTCTTTCTAAGGGACCCAACAGAGTAGGCGTCTTCCCTCACCTGAGGACGAAAACAGATCCAGTTTCCGAGATGTTGTGTTTTTCTTAGTTATTTACAATCCGGACGATGGACAAAGTGCGAAAACCCAGTATCTCTGTACACTAAACTAATTAACTAACTCCATGGAACTGAGTGTTCCTTGGGAAGCTACTCAAGAATTTCCCAGAATTTTATGGAGTCCGAAGGCTCATTACCGTGTTCACAAGAGCCCTCCGCTGGTCCCTATCCTCTCCTGGAGAAAAGTCTCACGTCTCTGCCGAGAATCAAAACCCAATTCCTTGGCCTCCAGCCCATAGCCAGTAGCTGTACCGACTGATCTATCGCAACTGGAAACTTGGTGCAATTCGAAGAATATTTTATCTTATCCCCCCAGGTTGAATTAATTTGCGGGTGAGTACTGAAATGTTCGTGTTTTTCTCTTACAGACGACGTTTGGCTTTTTTGTGCCACCTCTGACGTTTGGAGTAGCCCCATTAGTTGGGACCCTTCTGTGTCTCTTTCTCCCAGAGACAGCCAACACAAAGCTTCCAGATACCCTGGAGGAAGGAGAGAGTTTCGGAAAGTACGTATAGGATTCATTTGGAACTAGGAGATATAATTTGTATTGACTATATAAAAGAAAAACACGAACTGGGAAAGCTACAACCTAACTCAGTACGGAAAACCCTGCACATATATCTGAAAATTATAAATTAAACTTTGAGATATATTTAAATTTACTTCTTTTAACCCTCATTCCCACTCCATAAGTATAAAATGTATCATTTTTCGCTTAGTGGGGGGGTGGAGTCCAAGTGGGTCCACTCGGCACGGCGGCCACTGATTGGTCTATTGTAACTGCCCCGGGTGATTATGACGGAGAATTTGGTGGAATGAAGATTAGCAGGGGAAACCGAAGTCCTCGGAGAAAACCTGCTCCAGCGCCACTTTCTCCACCACAAATCCCACTTGACCAGACCCGGGATCGAACCCGGACCGCCGCGATGGGAAGCCAGCGACTAACCGCTTGAGCTATGGCGCGGCCTAAAGTAAAATGTGTCATAGGAATAACTTTATTGCTTCGGCGATACGACTTTTAGAATAACAAGAATAATAATTCTGAACCACAGAAAACGTAATTCCGACAGACATTACAACATTCGATCTGGCAAAAGCTTACATAAGAAAATCATCCGGAGACAGGAAATAGCTATATCGATTTGGCCCAACTGAGCAGGGTCCACCTGAAGACGGAGACAGAAACCAGTATCGGAAAAGTTGTGTGTGTGTTTAAATAAAAACTGGGCGACGGATAATGTCCAGAAACAAAATGATTGTATCTCAGATTATACTGTAGGCATCCGGTATATTCTCTATAGGGTAACAAAATAAAGAAGATCGTGACTCCAACTCCAGCCCACTGTCCCACTGTCACAGCGACCCAAGACTCGGAGACCACTACGATGAATTAAAGCGATCAAAGTCAATAATTTATTTATTATATCAAACTCAGTAACAATTCCGGTCGTGTAAAGATTCATAGATTGTTCTCGCCCTTTAAAAATTGATTTCGCACCTCACAGAAAAACACTGTCCTTACATTAACAAAGACTGGACGATTAACGCTGTTTAAAGAAAAAAAAACGCAGCTCATTTTGAGAAAAAAAGGAAAGATATAAATATGTTGTGTTGGAAAAGTGGAGAAATTTTAATGTTGACGCAAGTGGTACATATATTAATTAACCTTTATGATTTAAAGGCTAAAATAATAAATAAACTTTGTAAAGTCGTTGTTCAAGAGTTCTACGTAAAAAAACACCCGTTATTTCAGGAGAAGTGGAAATGTAGGGAGGACATTCTAGTCCACGTATCTTGTTTAAAAATCATGCTTTAAACCTATGTCATATTTATGATATCCAAATACGCCAACTTTTAAAATTAGAAACCGTAAGACTATCTGCATTCAAATATCATGTCACAAAATTATATGATACATAATCAACGAGAGCGATATGGCTCACCTATCTGCAATTACATAATATAATTCTAATTTCAGATAATAAATCACCACAATTTAATAGTTATCCCTTAATGCAATAACAAAATCATACACATGGACATTAAAAAAGTAACTTAAAATGTCATCAATGTTGCAAAGCATTACATAAAACAGTAAATTTCCGAACAAATAACTGAAAATATTTTCTAAAGTGAAGAAGATAATTATCCCAAAAGAGTACATTAAAAACCTTCATAAGGAGAGGTTAAATACGGATAAAATACATAAACATGAAAAACACACTAGTCTCAAATATGAAAAAAACTAGCCAACATAAATTGAAACGAGACAGTAATGTCTTTGTCTTACCTCACGAGCCTCACGAATATATGCACCATCGCGGTTACAATTATGTACATTTGAGTGCTTCTTGATTCGGACACAACATACACCCCTCACAAACTCGAGACGCTGTAGACCGTAGCAAACAAACTGATGCGGAAACCGCCACGTCACTTACAGTGGTGCCTGGTATCTTACTCATGGGGTTAGTTATTGGGACACGACTTTATGAGGGGCGGAGGGATACATGCTCTGCTCGGTACTAAGCCCCGTTGGACCGTCTCCAATTGCCGGCTTTGGCATTAGGGATGTTGAATTTTCATTTTGTCTTCTACTAGAACATTTGTGAAGCACAGTAAGCTTGCATACAAACAATGAAAATAAAACAAAATCAATATAAATAGAAACGGTATGGTTCATATTATAATTTATGCGCATGATTTCATATCTGCTTAAAATTTGTACTTTTTGTTTTGCAGGAAAATAAATAAAACCAAAACCACAACAGGATCCTCAAATAAGGGCTTCATTGATGAGGACAGTCCAGTGAAGCCGTATTAAATAATTACATACTTTTAATTCTGCTCCTTTGTGACTTCGCCAATATTTGGAGTAGTGACAGCTAATAATATTTTGGCTACATGTACCCAGTCACATCCTCAAGTACCTGGATTCCGTCTCAACACAATCTTAGTGTCTATACAGTGATAGTGTTTGTAGTGGCTATGTTGGCTATTAGTGTTCATGGAGAACATGAAAGTAATGAAAAAGGCCATAAAGATTTGTAATCATGTAATCTTGTTAAATAATCAAAATTAACAGCTTCACAAATTTAAAATGCTAATTCTTTTCCAGTCTTCTACATGACAAATGGTAACTGGCAGAAAGCCTGCCGCAAAAGCACTGCTAGACGAAATGTCTCTTATCTCTGACATGTCTTATGAATGATGGATGCATTATGGACCTGATATGTTGTGACGTCATGTAGGCTATAGTATTACCACTTGGATAAAGCAACTTTATATAACGAGATGGATTTAAAAAATTACATTCCATGTAGAGATTTTTTTAAATAATTTATATGGTTTTTGAAATGGTGTTTTCATAAATAATTGCCAGTATAAGGTTATAAAGGTATAAAAATAGACGTTCACGGAGATTTTCCTCCAATAAAAATATTTCAGTGTTGAAACTACGAACTTCTTCATCCCTCTGCAAACGATGGATCAGACACTGAATTATTCAGTTAACACCTCTTCCATAACAGTATCAAAAGTGGATTCGATTTCTTCCCTGCAGGTCTTTTAGTTGTTATGAGGAATATTGAGGTAAATGTTGCCATTAAAACTCCCCACAAAAATAAATCTTAACGGTTATTGTTTCAGGAATACGGTGACCTTGAGCGGCCACATTGAAACCGTTGTGGCAAAAGGTTTGACATTACTCGTGCGCCTAATATTCGCAGAATATATACTGCATGGATAAAAAGCCGCCTTGTTCATGTTTCCTGAGTCCTGAATTACTAGGTGTACGTCATGAACAAGCAGCTGAAAATATGAATACTTGTTAACAGTCCCTTCCAGAGATGTTGGGCGAATATGTCTTGAAGGCTGATAAGGAGGTCGCAGGTCCCTTTACTAAAAATATTCTTATTTTCTTGCGTCCTGTCCTATGTTACATTCCAGCTGTGAAAATACTTCCGCGTTTAAATGGTATTAACATATTTTTTCAAGATCCTATATTACGAACTTTGCAAATCTTGTAGGTTTTGAGGTTTTCACGGCGATGACAATGAAGAAAGTCGTCTTCTGGGTTTAGGCACCGTGTATTCTTCGTTTTGGCCGACGTTTCGAGGAACGTAGCGCCTCCATCTTCAGAGCAGTTGAATAGCTTGGAATGCGGAGAGCGGTAGCTACTGCTACGTCGGCCAAAACGAAGAATACACGGTGCCTAAACCCAGAAGACGACTTTCTTCATTTTCAAATCTTGCTTTCATATTTAAAGTTACTGGAAAACACTAAGGAAAACTAAGGAAATTTTATGTTATTGCCTGACATTCTGATATCAGTGAAGAAATGCAGCTGAGTCTGTTGAAATGCCAGGCTTGGTAGATTTAGTTTAACGATTGTTTTGAACAGCAACTAAAATATATATTATATGTTACATTACGAAAATTTTGTTTGTTGTATTTTCCTGAGTTCAGTTATTTCCAACTTCTACAAAAATATCCAGTTGGCAGGACATTATACAATATATATAACACACACACATATGTAAATGCCTCTGTGGTTTAGTGGTCAGCGTTCCTGGCTACAGATCCAGAGGTGCGGGCTCGATTCCCGGCGCTACCAGATTTTTTTCGGAGAAGTAGTGGGTCTGGAACGGGGTCCATTCAGCCTCCTGATGATAATTGAGGAGCTATTTCAAGGAAATAGCGGCTACGGTCTAGAAAATCGAAATTAACGACCGTGGGGATTCGTTGCGCTGACAACGCGACACCCTCTATCCGCAAAAGTTGGCACTAAATTTCGCCGACAAGTGGCGGTCGCTCGCTCGGTTGGTATAGTTCGCTTGCGGACTAAAATCACGGAGTGTGTTGTTTTATATGGGTAAATATTGTTAAAATGCTGACAGAAGATTGGAATAAGGGAACGATCGCAATAAAATTCACGAAAGGTTGATGAAACATGTGATGCATTTAACTTAGAATTACAGCTTTGCAAAATGAGAAGCAGCTAATAACAATAAAAGATTCAATGTCAACAAGAATAAACTTTTTATTTACAAATCCGGAATATTACATTATATCTGTGGCTTCAAACTACGATAATTGTTTCCATAAAACAGTTCAACAGTGACTTCTTTTCCATCAGAATCGTATGTCTAAGATTTAACTTTTTTAAAAATATCAATAACTAAGTCGTGTATCGTTCAGATTTTCTTAAAGAAAAACAAATTGAATTTTATAATAATACAATTTTTAACCGAACGTGAGCCTTTAGTTCAGAACATAATGATATTACATATATAAATGTCAGTAAGCGAGAGATTTGTCGTTGACATTACGCAATTTCTGGTTACTACAAAAACGTACTTCCAGTTATTATAAAATTCATGAACGTAAGTTATGCGGGTTATGATCGAGTGAGAAGAGTTTTGGTTTAATGTATCGTGTCTGTTCTGTGGTTACTGATAACATTTTGAAGTTGAGATGTGAAATGTAGTGTACTGTGTAGGGAAGACAGTTTATGATTGGTTATTTGTGCGTGTTAATCGTGGGAGATAGCGGTGAACTTTGGCTTTGACGCAACATTCCGTAACATCTAGGACTAGAAAGGAATATGGGAGAAAGTAGGAGACGTTAAACTTTCGGGAAGTTTGTATAATAAATGAGGGATACCTGCCACCGAGTGCTCAACAAGTGTTACGCTAGATTATTGTATGATATTTGTAGCAAATTTCCCGGTAATTTTAAAATCACATAAAATGTGACACATCTTAGAAATCTAAAGTAATACATAAAGTGTAATTCGGTTGAACAAGCACAATAATTCTATGTGTAAGATTTAATACAACTTAAATATTTCGACTGCAACATTCTCACCATGAGAACAATCAGCAATAGAGGTCCAAAACTCCAAAAGTTTCAGCGTTGCTGCTGTGATACTTGGATGTAGTTTCTATTTTCCTTATCTTGGATACATTTTCTGAAAATAAAAGTAACGTTATGGGAAGGCGTTTTCCGACAAGTAACCTCAAGAACTCACCTCAAAGCGGCAATCAAGCTGAGAAATATTCTCATAGTAAACACAGCCAATGCCACTACATACCTCCCAAATTGTTCTCCATCTTCCAGTGTGTCTGGAAGTCTGCAGTTTTTTGTTTCTGGAAGGAAATAAATCACAGCAGCTCCAACCAGAGAACAGCAACCAAAGATCAGAGGCGGCCAGAAATTTCCAAAATAGCCCTGAGAAGAAAATTTGCTCTCGTAGTATTTTATTTATTGCTAGTGGGGTGGGACTAAGTCCCTTGTACTGCGGCCACTTCTGGTCTATTGTACCAGCCCCAGATGATAGGTGAGAGTGATTGTGGAGCAATTGGTGGAATGAAGATTGGCAGGGGAAACCGAAGTACTCGGAGAAAACTTGCCCCAGACACTTTGTCCATCACAAATCCCACTTGACCAGCCCCGGGATCGGGAAGCCAGCGACTAACCGCTTGAGCTATGGCATTCAACTATTTCCATTTTCTCTTGAGATCAAAACCAAGCAGAAACAGGAACGAGCGAGATGTGCGTTGATACTGATTCATAATATGGCCGCTCAAATCAGACCAAGGTGAGAGTAAGTGAGATTTGAGGTTTTCACGGCGGTGACTATGAAGAATTCCGTCTTCTGGGACGTGGTACTGTGTAGCTCTTGTGATCTACACGGCGCCACATCCCAGAAGACAGCATTATTCAAAGTGAGACTACATCAGGAATTGCGTATATTCTATCATTTATGTAAACATTTGTCAGTAACCTACTTCTGGAGGAAGAACAGTAACGAAAACGTGCTTGTTAAGTTACTGGCGCTACAGCCATCATTTGGGCCTAGGCATACCTCCATGAAACTCTCCGTTTCACTTCTGTTTACTAGATCTTACACATACGGTAGGACTCCTCATCCTCCTCCTCAGCTCATCGCAAGGCCTCTACCTGTAGACAAACACAGAAAAAACGCACACAAACATCCATGCCCTGAGTGGGATTCGAACCCACGATCTCTGCTTCCGAGCGAGCGAAGGCAGTGCATGCCTTAGACCGCTCGGCTACCGTGACCGGCTAAGTTACTTATTCAAACGATTTACTAGCGAACTAACGCCCATTCCCGTAGAACAGGACAGGGCAAGATGAGATCGCGAATTTTTTCATTTTATAGGCTTTTTGTTAACAGGTGCATTACCGTTTGTTGTTTTGTTACGAACAGCCACTTACCAAAGACTTGATAAACGGAGCAAGTATAGACCCGAAACGACTGAACATAGATGCTGAACCTAGTCCGACGTTTCGGACCACAGTAGGAAATAGTTCCCCGGAGAAAACATAAAGGGCTGGGAAGGTCAGACACATCCCAGTAAGAGCAATCGCCGATAGTAGCACACGTGGCCAGTCTCCGGGAAACATACCTGAAAAAAATTGAATTTTAACAGCAAGCTGAGAGATATATAAGTATGTGGGATAGAGCACGACTTTGAAAAGAATGGTTTAAATGAATGGGCACTTTTGAAATATGCATATACAAGTATACTGTGTTTCATGAGGATGTGAACAGGTTCTGAGTAGAAATTATGAGCTTACTTTCTCTTAGGCTAAGGAAACACGTATTATAAATTAATGAAGTTATTCAGCGCCGATAATCTATTTTGTATGTACCTGCTACTACTAGAAATTCAAACTGCATAAAAGTGATCAGATATGTGTAATTAAGATTCCACCATTAATGACCTCGGTACCAGATTGAGGAGAATGGTCAGCTTCACACCCCGGCCGCTTTATCCCCGTTGGATAGGAGACTGGTTGGGCCCCAGAGGCGGTCTGGGCGCTGTGCAGAAGATTAATACCTTGCCACGGCGGTAATCAGAACTGGACTCCTTGGACGGGGGATCAGCCCGTCGCAAGGCTGCTGCCTATACACAGTACGACACAGACATAGAATAAACGCAGACAGACATCCATGCCCTGAGTTGGATTCGAACCCACGATCCCAGGGTTAGAGCGAGAGAAGACAGTTCATACCTTAGACTGCGCGGCGACTATGATCGTCACCTTACTAGCCCTTGATGAGATAAAAATGGAGCATTTGTGGAATTATAACTGTAAGTTTAAGGCCATGCTCAACTGCCATTTTGATCACTAAAAATTCTACGTATATTATCCTGGCACTGAATTTGGGTCTCCCTGGAGCTGAATTACTAAATAAATTCCTCTCCTTTGGCAGGACCTGAAGGTGCATTAGTGTATTCACAAGAGAACGCCGATGCGCCAGATGAAACCAATCCACACACTCCTATCCCATTCCCTTCTTATCTATTTCAATTTTATCTATACATGAACGTTCAGGTGCTACTGCCCCGGGTTAATAACGGACAACGAAATCTGAAGAAATGTGGTGCTGACCTGTAGGGACAGCTATGAGCAGGAGACATGAGACAGCAGTGACAATGTGGGAGGTGCAGATGCTTTTCTTTCGCCCGAAGCGAACCACGTAAATGCATGCCAATGTCCCAGGCACGCCTATAATACCTGAAAAAGTCAACATATTTACACGTATTATTTAAAATTATTGAATCTGTGTGACTAGAATGAATGGGATTTTGAAGGAACTTCCTTACTTAGGAACCAGACAGGACACAGATCAAGGATACAGCCTTAAAGACAATATGGGAAGGTGCTTCAAGGTTAGAAATAAATTACAAACCAAGAAGTGGTGATAAATGAGTATGGAGCAATGTTGAAGTGTTGATTAGCAGGTAAACATTGGAGAAATTCGAAGAAAATTCCCTTCCAGTGCCAGTTCCTCCACTATGAATCTCACATGGAATCACCGGGGATTGAATCCAGGCCTCCTCGTTGAGAAGCCAAAGTTTAGCCTCCGGAGCTATGGCACAGAATTAATAAAGTGTTATAACATCACAATTCTTTTTTGTGCTTCCTATATGCCTTATGAAGAGAACTCCTTTTTTTGTAAGATTTGAGGTTTTCACGGCGGTGACTATGAAAAATGCCGTCTTCTGGGATGTGGCGCCATGTAGATCTTGTGTAAACCGACGTTTCGTAGGAACGACGGTTTATACAAGCTCTAAACGAGGCCACATCCCAGAAGACGACATTCTTCAGAACTTCTTTTTGTCTCAAAGATGAACTCTTCTGAAAAGAAAGAAGCATGGCATTGGAGAAGAACTCAACATATCTACTACAAGGTAAACAAATTAAAGTTGTGTTTGTACTTAATGATGCAAGACGCCTTGAAGGCGAATGGGGGCGTATAAGTATGAAGAGTTCTGTCTTTTGGGATATGATGCCGCTTAGTCCGGTGAAGGTCAACAGGATGACATGGTTTTATATCTCAGAGGTAGAACTCTTCACAGGCATCGCTGCGTAAACCCAAAATCCAACAAAGTAGAAGTGTGTCTGTCTTAATTTTTAAACTCGACAGTAGACACATGCGAGTGGTTAGCTTCAAGCTCCAGCCTCTTTCCTCAAGCGTAAAAAGCTCCTGTGCATACTGGACAAGAGGCTAAGCAGGCCGGTTGGAGGTCGGGGTAAAAGTCTCTTGTCCTTGCCCGGAATCTAATCCTGCCTCCCTGACGGCCATCGCGTAGCCTTGTCACTGTTTCGTCTGAGGAATTCCGAGCTCACGGATACATGAGATCAGGACATCTAAACACAATATGAGAAACACTATTTGTGCTGCCCACGAGTCCTTGTACAGTTGGCCTGCACGAGTTAGTAATCACCGTATATCCTTGAAAGATAGAAGTAAAGATGAATTATTTTATTGGTAAAGTACAAGGGACAGCGCAGCGATGGGATAAAAGCAATAACTTCTTCTAATTCGAACCACCAGGTTTTGGAGGATAATATTAAAATGAATCTAAAAGTGTTTTAAACCACGCTTGTAAATAAATAATGATAACAATTTATAAATATTTTAATATATTCATGCACATTGCTGTAGTTGTTAAAGGCTCATATTTTATATTCATGACATTGTAATGATATTTTATGTATGTATTGATAATGACCAATGACTTTGTAATAGTAGTTTCCGCTTGTATTGATATGTCCTTCTGAAGACGGTCTCTCAGACCGAAACATGTCAAGGATGAAAGAATAAAAAGGAGAAGAAACATTTATCAATGACACTGGACAGAGTTGATAAACTTTTATAAGAATCTCAAAGAACCCTTGCCTATTGGCGCAGCGTGGTTTCAGCCTGTTCATGACAGGGTTCAGTGTCAGGCTCTTGTGAAGAAAGTAAGAAACATGGCGGTTTATAACAGGCAGGAATTATTTGAACTAAGTAAATATCAGGTTCCCAAGAATAATTTTGGTGCATGGATGGGTGTAACCCTTAAGTTGTTTCATAATAAAAGCTATGGCTACTGAGATTTTGTGTGGTGTCCTAAATTTTCTGTCTATGGCTCTACAGTCCGTCTGTTGGACCTTGGTCGCTTTTTCAGTTTCGTAATCCTACACACACATTAGGCAGGACCCCTTGGACGGCGGATCAGTTCGTCGTAAGGCCGCTACCTATACAGAGAACATCACAAAGAATAAACGCACACAGACATCCATGCCTGAGTGGAATTCGAACCCACGATCCCAGAGTTCGAGCGAGCGAAGACAGTACATACCTAAGACCGCGCGGCCACTGTGATCGGCGGTGTCCTGAATGCTAAAGATAAATTACAGGCTACTTCTCTTTGTTCCAGAAATAATTACAATGTTCCTCTTTTCTGGCAAGTGATAATCATATTGTGAATTCTCGAAAAGTTTTTCAGACCTACTGAAGGTACGGTCTTGCCCTACATCATGACTAACCAACCACGTTTCTTGTCTCACCTGCTATGACTGTGGTAACAAAGACGTTCCCGCCAACCTTGCTCAGAGTCTGTGAGAAGCCAAAGAAGCTGAGACCTGCCATAAACCAGCTGAAGAAGAGAGACAAGGAGTTCCGACGAAGGTTCGGTGTGCGCATTAGGTCGGCCAAGGTCGCCTTGCGGTCGCCGCCGAAATCTTCCCGCTCAGACCTGGTTCTCTGAACAGCTTCCTTGACTGCTGTCACGTCACGATTGTTCCATCTGGCTGCACTTTCGAAGATTCGGAGGGCTTCCATGTCTCTGCCCACGGCCATCAGCCACCTCGGGGACTCCGGGATAAACCTGTTGCAGACACAATTCACACCTTCTTGAATAAAGTGTGGTAAATCTAACATTCTCCTTGTGTGGTTTGCTTTGTGATGCTGACAACACCTCATCCTGTAGACGTCGGATGGCAGGATGACTGGTGAACAGATACTTGGAAAGGATTTGGAAGGAAGAGGGCCAGGTCCAATTGACGTGCTTTGCTGGAAATTCCCTACTTGAACTGAGGAAGACCACAAAAGAACCTCACTCAGGATAGCTGGTGTCCTGACAGATAATCGAAGACAGATCCTCCCAATTATAAGTCTAGGGCATTACTGTTACATTAACTTGCTCGGTACAACCGTAAATTATGTAAACATTAATTGAATTATTTCTTCTGCCCAATTTAATTTAATTTTATCTTATTTCTATATGCAGTTGTTGCTACTGCAGCATTTAATATTTCTGTACTCACCACCAATATACAAGGAACACGGCCGATATTGCAGAGAGCGTGAACTGAAAATCCCGCCAGTCTCTCTGGAGATAGGAAACCCCAGCCATTAGACAAATTCCTAACGAAAATGGAATTTGGTATAAAATTGCTATTGTTGTGCGCCATTTGTTTCCGACAATTTCCATGACTGAAAAAAAAAAGAAATTAATACCATGGGGGGTTACGCGGGCAATAATAAACTGGTGCCCTGCCTTTTACTATTTCCTAGTTTTTTTATTTCGCTATACAATTAAAATTATTTAAAACTGATACTTGAATGAGTGAAAAAAAATCCTGTTCGGAAAAGATTTCTCGATCCAAAAATGCTCTCATAAAGCTATGTTTCTTTCGCTGTGTCCTTCTTGAATTTATATGAGAAGGAATTTTCCTTTCACTAAAGCAACGAATTTGGCTCGACTATCGACAGAAAAAGTTGACAGCGCTTTTATTGAAAAATGACGAAGTGAGAAATGAATAAAAGGAGGAAGAAAAAAGGTAAATGTGGGGAGAAAAAAATGTTATTTCACATTTAAGCGTACATTTTAATATTGTGAATATCTGTCGATACAAACTAAACCCGTAGCCCTCAATGCTCTCTTATACAAGGACCGGAAAATTATCGGTATATAACACAGTTTAGTACCGGGGTTCCCAAATGTTTCTGGACCACGGATCATTTCGTGGACTTATTTGGCCGAGTACCGCAATATTTTAAGAATCTTGAATGGAAGGAGAATGAAATTTAGCCATCAGTCATGACTGCATGAATTTTAAAATGAAAATAATATCAAATTTTTTTGTCGTGCACATCACATGTTTATTTGCGCATACATGAAAGATCTTGATTTGAAGATACAGTCGAAACACTTGAAAAAATTCCCCATTTTTCTGGTGGTCCGCGGCCATACTTTTGGGGGACTCTGGCTTAGCACAATATGAATGGTTGCGCCGTAGCTCGAGCGGTTAGTCGCTGGCTTCCCACCGCGCCGGCCCGGATTCGATCCCGGATCTGGTCAAGTGGGATTTGTAGTGGACAAAGTGGCGCTGGGGCCGGTTTTCTCCGAGTACTTCGGTTTCCCCCTGTCAATCTTCATTCCACCAAATTCTCCGTCATAATCACCCGGGGCAGGCTACAATAGGCCAGTCAGTGGCCGCCGTGATGAGTGGACCCAGTTGGACTCCACCCCCCACTAAGCGAATTAGTACAATATCAATCCATAAACTTAAAGAAATGCATGTAATATAATATTGATTTGGCAGATGTCACAGTTAGCCACCGAGTAGTGGCTATTGAAACGTATGTAAGGGGACGCATGAAATAAGTTGTCAACACATCCAGGGATCTGGGGGTTGGAGCACGGCTCAGTCTGAGGATGCAGCAGACGAACCCTAACCTCCATGCTTTCTTCACCATAAGAGGAATTGCGGGGAGGGAACAAAATATAGAAATGTTCAGCAAAAATTATTCAGATTGCTGTCTTCTGGGACGTGGCTCCGTGTAGATCTTGTGTGAACCGACATTTCGGAGGAAAGTATCGCCTCCATCTTCAGGGTAGAAGACTCCGTGAGCGAGTAACCAGCATGAGCAGATGATTGCAAAATCTACACGGCGCCACATCCCAGAAGACGGAATTCTTCACAGTCACCGGCGTGAAAACCTCAAATCTTACAAAAATTATTCAGTTGTTAAAGTAAATGGGGGAAAAGATTGTTTTTGCAATATTGTAAATTTTTTCATCTGTGGCAAATCAATAGGATTTACACGGTCAAATTGGAATTTATGTACCGGCGTGTATAAGTCGCGGGTGAGGGCTCCACGACAGAAAAACAAAGGTGTACACGACGATTGATTTTATGTTTTACACTGTCTTCAATTTATGACGCTGCGAACGGGTTTGGAAAAAGTTGTCCATCCAAAAATAAAAACCGGTAAGATACCGGCGGCCTCACGGCAGCAGGATAGCCTCATACAATGAAATCCTTGTAGTTTCGCGTAGAAATACTGTAGTACCAACCTAGAACAAAGCTGATTATCATTGTTCCTCCAGTAGCCACAGCCATAAAGAAGCGAGCCACTAGGAAACCGCTGAACCAGGGTGAGTAAGCAGACAACACGCCAGCGGCCGCCTGTAATCCTATCGCGAAAATAAGAGGCACTTTGCGACCAATTCTGCAAACAGGAAGGCAGAGATTATGTTATAGACTATGGTCATGTCTACTTGTCTCTAAGTACTTCACTTAGTAGATCATCGAGATGATAATGCAACGATGCAACGATAAAGTTTATTGGAAAACATCAGGATAAAGCATCGCTCTGTGTCATAAATGTATATTACTTACTTACTCAGAGGCTCTACGATCTGTGAAAACTTTTGTCTCCATGGGACAGAAACCCATTATTCTCTGCTCTCTGCCTGTTCCCTCTATCTCTGAAGTTTCAGCTCAAGTAAACAATTTTCTGCATCTTCAGGCCATTTCAACATGGGGCCTTTCACTTTTCTACTACTATCGGGGTTTAAAATATTTACTGAAGTTCTGTTGGTAGATAATGTTTAAATGATACCTCGATATGCGACATCACTCGCTTGCTTTTCCTTATTGATCTAATCTTCCACTTTTATCTCGCCCAGGACAGAAACGAGAGACTAACAGGGTTGTAACGACTTGAATAATGCGAAATGCAAAAAAAAAAAAAAAAGTAATTTTGTTGGATCTGTTTTCACGTTGTTGAGCATGAAGTTTACGGTCTTCTAGGATATGACGCCATGCAGCCTGGAAGAAATTTACTTTTGTTTCGGAGGAACAAGCAAGTCACTGTATTTCTTCTGGCTTATTTTGGACTTCATCCATCGTCTGGTATGTAAAAGACAAAAGACCACGACGTTTCGGTACAGTATACACCATCGTCAGAATCCTTTCAAGTCTATCTAAGCAAGTCACTGTTTGCTCCTTGCTAATTGCTTACTTGGCTAAATTTAGAGACCCTACTTTACGCCTACACATCTGTGAACTTCTGCCGTATCATATGGCGCGATGTCCTGGAAGATAGTACTCTTCATAGCAGTTCTTCTATTTAAGTTTTAAATGTCGGTACTTCCGCTGTGGGTTACCAAATGAAGTCGGAAATGATATCATGAGAGTTTATATTTGACTTCAGTCTGTGAGCTTCCAAAATACCAAGAAGAGATTTTTCAAGAATGAACTCAGAGGATGTCTAATGCACAGTGCAATATATCAAGGTGCAATTGTAACCCTCATATTTCTAGAAGGAGTGCAATGTGTGCATAGGCTCATACAGGTAAAGATTATTTAATTATTTTCATTGCAATCATATTCCAGCAAGTAGTTACATAATTTAGAGGAGACCTGTATCGGCCTCACTCTTCAGTTAAATCCATGAACAGTAAAGAATTACTGAGTAAACGGTCGCCATTATATTGGCCGAGTAAATTGATTTCTTACCGAACCAAAAGATTCACTACATCATCAGCGGTCTCTGTTCTGAGCCAATTAACACTCAATTAATATTATATCAGTGTATTCTTTAAGATATTCAATGTTATTCTAAATTATTTTCGGGTTTTCCATGGCCTCTATTTTTCAAACTGTAAACCACAAAATAAAACTACTTACGTACCATGAAAGGCGCACATGTTAAAGTTATTTAGGATATTTCAGTATTCATTTTATGAGCAATACATTTTTTTTAGTTATAATTTCATATTCTGTTAGCCTTTTTATTCTGTTATTTTCAGTTTGAACATTACTGGCTACGGAAACCCCGACAATAATTTAGAATAACGCTATATGTCTGTTATCTTCCCATTTTCTAAATGGTCACAAAAATGTATTATTTCAAGCTAAAATGTTAAAATAATTTCCCTCCTCCCATGCTTGCTGCATGTCGCTCCGGTCTTATCCTCTTTGACCTGATAACTCCAATAATGTTTGTTGAAAAATACAAATTATGAAGCTCCTAATTACGTAAGGTTTTAAATCTTCTGGTACTTCATCTTTCTTAGGTGCAAACATTCTCCTCAACATTGTTCTTAAATATTCTCAATCTGTGTTCATCACTTCGTGTGAGATCTAAGAGCAAAGCGGACCGACGGGAGAGCATGATTGTTACGGACGAGCCACAGAAGAGCGCATTTCCCCACCTGTCAGCAGCGATGCCAAACAAAACGTTGCCTAGCAGAACTCCTAACATGAATGTCGCTTGGGCTATGTCCACCATCACGGAACGACTGCACACGAGGTTCCACTGCAACAATGGCACAGTCTTAACATAAAATTGGATAATTATACCTCGTACATTAATCAGAATATTTCAATTCCCAAACTACAGAATTTAATAGCATTTAATTTTCGGTTTATGAATTCAAATTTTTGTCAGATTTAATTTCATTGGGATCAGTTCTACATATCAGAAGCTCGCAACCATTTTTGACTCCACCACTGAGGTAGCAGTGAGGTTTCCGAGGACCCAAATATTATTTCTCTCAAATTGTATGATACAAATAAGAGTACACAAATTTAATTATACTGAGTGTCATGCCTAAACGTTTTTAATTAAGATATATAAATAACAAATTCGTGTGACATTAAAATCGAACAGATATCGTAATCATCACATCAGACATTCTCAACTCATGATTACACACAAAAGCATACGAAATAATTTTGAGTGTCAGATGAACATTCATTAAAACTATCCCCCTAATATGTCGAGTAGACCCATTGGGTTGTGAGATGTCGAGGCTCCCATATTTTCTAGACAATCGGCTCACAGATGGTGTTGAGGTCAGCCTTACGTCCCGGCCGCCCTTTAACCCCCCCAGGAAGATTCCTGGTACTCATTTTTGTTAGAGGCTGAGTCGACTCCAGGTTCGTAGTACGGCTGGATGGATTAGGCCAATTGAAATATTGAACGGCCACATCAGGAATCGAAACCGCGACCTTCCGGTTTGTAGCACAGTGCCTCAACCAACTACGCTAACACGTGCCACCCTGAATATTCATTAAGCAACTTTATAATACAAGAAAATGTATTCTTAATTTATTTACATACCTAGAAGAAGCACTATGCTACAAGCCGGAAGGTCACGGGGTTGAATCCCGATGAGGTGAATCTTTTTTTCAATTGACCTAATCCTTCCAGCCGCACTATGGCCTTGGGGTCGACTCAGCCTCTAACAGTAATGAGTATCAGGAATCTTCCTGGTGGGTAAAGGACGGCCAGCGCATAAGGCTCACAACCTCACCGCGATCTGTGAGCCTATTGTCTACAAAATGTGGGAGCCTTGACATCTCACAACCCTATGGGCCTCCACTGCCTGTTACAGGGATAGTTTTACCTTTACCTAGAAGAAATTTGTTCAAAACTAAATTCTCGTGTTGAACAAACTCCTTGGCTTGTAGAAGGAAATAAGAAGACAAAATCCTCTTGGTCCTAAAGTAGTTATTATACGAATAATGATAAACATAATGACGCTCTAACTTGAAACTGAGGACCGGCCTACTTCAAACTTCAGACTATCAGCCGTCCGCGGATCACCGATCAACATGCTACTCAGCACGTTACTTAAGCTAATGATACTCAACAGAAGCTTAGCATCACTAAAGCTCTACATAGAAACAAGTTTTTTTTAATGAAATGAAGCACTGATATCAGTGAGATGTGGAATTGTTATGTGGAACACAATATAAGTATTTTCCGATTCTATGTTCTGTCTTTAGTGATACTCTTTGCTAAATTAAATTAATATCTAAAATAAATGTAAATCAAGGTCACAGATATATGAGCCAATTAAAGTATCCTTAAAGAAATAAGACACAGAAGCAAATGTTGTTTACAACGAGAACTGACCTCTGTTACAATGTTTTCCTTGAACACTTCTCTGTTGTATTCCCAGCTCTGGCACTCGACAGTATCCCGCCTTTCGGATGCATCTCGCACATCATCGTTTGTGTAGTTGAGGTTGTATATCCTACAGGCGTCATAACCACCCTGTAAGCGTGAAGCATACTCGAATATAAAAATTGTCTAGTGTAATGAGCTGAGTAATACGAGATATGAACAGTAAATGTTAACAAGTCGAATTATAGAGGATTTACAATTCTCATATTCGTCTGTAAATAGGGAAGTGTGTAGTGGGCAGCTGAACAAGTGCATGTTTGTAAGCGTAAGGACAGCCAGGCAAAGTTTAGCAAGTTAGTTCACATGTAACACTCATACACGTACCTCACCAGTGTCTGTGCAGTACGTCTGGGACACTACCTTTACTTTATCAAAAACAACTAGCCATTTTACTGAAACAAACTTCGACATGAACAGCCGTATGATATCATAAGCAGGATTTGAAGAAATATTTAGTCTGCTCGCTTGAGGTGAGTTTAATTTGTGAGATGGCGGTCGGATAATCTCAACATTAATTTATATTAACCGCCCCCCCCAAAAAAAAGCCAGAAACAAAACACTTCTGATAATGTAAAAGGGTAAGAAAAGTAAAGTTTTCCTTCTGCTTAACTAATTAAGCACTAAGCCATGAAGGCGCACGGGGAAGTCGATGTATAGATCCACATTTTCCTGACCTCGGCACTAGTTGGAGATGAGTGGTGAGCTTCACGTCCCTGCCGCTTTACCCCAAGGGTAAACCTTGTAACCATCGGATAGGAGGCCGGGTGGGCCGAAGACAACATGGAGAAAAGAAAATTCTTATTCCTACCAGGACTCGAAGCCAGACCCCTGGGACTTCCAGCCCGTAGCCAGTCGATGTACCGACTACGCTATCCCGGTTCGTAATGCAAAAGGGGAAAACGTAATTTACTTTAAAAGCTAATGTCTCAGGTTCAGGAAGTCTGGTAGGGGACAAGTGCCTATAAGTTACTCATGACTTTTTACGGCCGCGCCATAGCTCAAGCGGTTAGTCGCTGGCTTCCCACCGCGGCGGCCCAAGTTCGATGCCGGGTCTGGTCAAGTGGGATTTGTGGCGGAGAAAGTGGCGCTGGGGCAGGTTTTCTTCGAGTACTTCGGTTTCCCCTGCCAATCTTCTTTCCACCAATTGCTCCACAATCACCCTCACCTATCTGGTGCTGGTACAATAGGCCAGAAGTGGCCGCAGTACAAGGGACTTAGTCCCACCCACTAGCAATAAGAAAATACTCTTCATTGGAGGAATATGTCTTCCCCGATAATATTGAACTCTTATCAATTTATGTACTTCAAATTCGTTTATGGGTAAATGTATTCCATAAAAGCGAAGCCAGGAAAATAGGTTAACATTCTTTATAATTGATATTTCCGAAGATGTAAGGATTCTTTTTAAAGTCCTTCCTATTTGCAATGTCATAAATTGTTGAGCTGGTTTAAGGGCAACTCGTCAACAACAGGATTACAAGGATTACTCTATTCTGCGACACAACACCATATAATTTTGTACATATTTACTTTCTTCGCCCCTTCACACTTTCCTTTTACATCCCCTCCCATCTGCAATTTCGATCCGATTCAGTACCATGCAGTTTACTCCGCTCTCACTTGTGCGCTCCTGTCCTCTTTCCATCTATGATTGTGGCCCATTTCAGGGCCACATGATTTCATATGACAGCACTCCGTTATGTTCCGCTCTTAATCCTATTCTTTGTTCTCCCTTTCCTTTATGATTGGTCGTTTTCTCTGGTAGTTATCTTTTTCTGCACTGAAGACGCAGATGGAAGTATCCTCCGAAGTACTCATGACTTTAAAAACGAAGTGACATAAATATCTAAGAGCCTACTATATGTGGTCATTTTCCAGAAGACAGTGATCTTCGTATTTTCCGTCTTAACAACTTCAAAATTCATAAAAAGTTAACACTCATGTACAGTGACACAAGACTTACTCTTCTGAAACGCATCGGAGCCAAGATAGTTTTTAAAATGTAGCAAGGAAGTGACCCATTCTTCTGTCCTAAGGAGCGAAAACCGGCCTCCGAATGGTCATGAGGACGTTACCTATTCAGAGACTGATAACATTCAAAGAATATTTCCCTAAAGCAATAATGCTCTCTTAAAGCTTGTCAGAACGAATGCAAGATCAGCTAGCGGCTTACGTTTCTCAGACGAGGATGACTGAAATTCCTCCATTCGTCTACAGACAAGTTAGCATATGAATGGGGTCTGGCACACCAGAAGTCGGTGTGCGTCTCCAGGACAATGATGCTGAGCTGAAACCAGGCTATTGGCAGCTTCAGGAACGCCATCAGGAGGCTAATACCGGCCTGCCAACGTCCGAAGTCTCCCACTGCTACCTGAACTGCATCTGACGTGGACCCGTGATATCCCATTGCTCTGTAGCCTGGAACTGTAGAAGAAAAAGATTATAAAACGTTCTTGCTAGAAACTTAACTGTTATAATGCAGAAGAGCTTGCTGTCTGTCACGCAAACACAGATAAACGATACTTATTCTTTCGTGTTTCTGTATGTAGGCTTATATGATTTTTATTCTTAGGAATGACGCTGTAATTTCCGCGAAATTTCTAGGAAATTTGAAATTAAGTAGAACAGTACGTTAAATATCAACCAGGGGATTCTTAAGCAATAATAATAATTAATTATTCTGGGGTAAAACAACGTTCATAAAAAAATACGGTAGATTGCAGCTGTGGTATTGCAGACAACTAGTACTGAAGTATTTTCGTTTGCCTCGAGTAAGTTTAAAATATTCCGGCATGTTATCCGCCATGTCAGCGCTGCCAGTCTTACAAGTAGTTAGATAGTAGTGCCTCGTTAGAGCAGCCAACTTTAGAAAGCTTACTGCCAGCAAGCCAACCTAGCGTGGCAGCCGGCACTGGAATATCTGGCCGAAAATATAGTAACAACATTTTATTAACAAGAATAAACCCTTGTAGTAATAAACTTACAGGTCACATTGGACGGAGTGATTTATATTTGTAATTATTAGTGTGACGGACCAGAATGAAACAAATCAAAAGAATAAACCCCATTTATTTTCTTAAAAATACATTTCCGTAATACACCTTCTACGCCTAGCCTTTGGGTTTGACTTTTACTAATAAACTTGTTATGAGCAATAAACTTCCAAATTGGGTAGAGCAAACGTGGCTGCCGACGTGCCTATCGGTCGCGCTGACGTCGCGGACACTATGGCGGCTTGCGTCACCCCTGAATATGAAAGCACTAAAACCATCTTCTACGCCTAAGTAGCAAGGCCACATTATGCCGGAGAAAAGCTCCTGGTATGCATTACGTAGAAGAGTGGGTGGGTTAGGGGGCCAGTCTGGGTGCAGTGTCTTCGCCGAAAATCGAAGCCTTGTCATCTAGTCATGGGCTAGTAACATTACGGAATGGGGTGTAACAAGAATGAAAATACATTCCCGTTCGACGCTGCAATTTCATTAAGCAGCAATGTTAACTAATCTATGAATAAAACTGATAAAAAACACTGAAATTTGGCACATATGGAATAATCTTACATACAATGACTGTATAAGGGGTGGGCCTTTTTGGCCCTTGCACCGCGACCACAGTGATCCATCGTGCCTAATCTTGCATACTATACTGATACAACATCTTCGAAAGAGTTAGGAAATGCTTCCTGCCTTATAAAATCGGTTCTGCCGGATGAGTAAAATATCAAAGACGGTTTGATTGTCTTAACAATAACATATTTTATTCTAAAATGTATATAAATGATGTTAATATTATTAATATTATTGTTATTTGTAGTCGGAGCAGGGAGAGCATAGTCGGTATGGCGACTAGCTACGGGCTGGACGACTGAGGGGTCGGCGTTCGAGTCCCGGTAGGGTAAAGAATTTTCTCTTCTCCACGTTGTCCAGACGGGCTCTGGGGTCCATCGAACCTCCTATCCAATGGGTACCGGGGTGCTCTTTCTCCGGGGGCATAGAAGCAGGGGCGTGAAGCTGACCACTCACCTGCGGCTAGTGTCGAGGTCAAGAAAAACGCGGATCTTTACATCCAGCTTGCAAAACGCCTTCATGGCTTAGTGCTTAATTAGTAACCACAGGGACAACTTTACCTACTACTACTACTACTACTACTACTACTACTACTACTACTACTACTAGTAGTAGTAGTAGTATGTTTGATAAGATAGTGCATCAATATTGATAAATTTTCCACGAAATGTAACAGTGATGGGCTGTCTAGTACTGACAAAGTTCAGAATACGTATATCTGAAAATAGAGCGTTGAATTGAAAAACAGATGGAGTTTGTGATGATGACAATAGCAAGGAGACAGCAAGTATACTACTACGGATTAATCGGTGTGGAAGACGTTTGCTTCCAGAGAGCACTTTATTATGCCTTCTCGTTAAGGTCTATACCAGACGTCACTTGATATAAAAGTTAATTAGTTACGATTACAGTTACAATAAGATATCGAAATAATTTTAACTCTGATGTCACATTTGTGTAGTTACTTGTAGGAATACTGTTACATACCGAAATTCTTCTCATGTTCCACTCACCTTGTGAAAGATTCGAGGCAGTATTTTATCTTACTGTGATTTTAAAGCTTCTTAATAATTCTTGTCATTAGTTGATGGGATCTGAAGGAGTGATTTTGTAGCTTCTGTGAAGATCTTTCAGCAAATGTTTCATTTCCATGAAGTAGGTCTGATCTGTATTGGTACACGAAACACCTTATTCACTACTAACAGCCAGACACTTCCTGCGCTGATATTTTGAAGCTACGAAACAGAGAAGAGCTTTAGAAAGTGAAACCGTCCGACTGAGACACTCTCTCGCGTTTTCCTTCTCCATTTCTCCAGCTACCCTTTTAACCTACTTTGTCATTTTGTTGCTTTAACTTTACTCTCTCTTTCTGTAGACAATTATTCGATTCAGTTGAATAATTTATGTTGTATATTCAAGCTCATTTTACTTCATTCTCTAGTCTAATAACATTCTTGTTTAGTGCGAGCCGGTCACTGTAGCCGAGAGGTCTAAGGCATGTACTGTCTTCATTCGCTGGGAAGCCGGGATCGTGGGTTCGAATCCCACATAAGGCATGGATGTTTGGTATGTGTATATATTTATTCTGTGTTTTTGTTGTTCTGTGTTTAGGTAGAGGCCTTGCGACTGGCTGAATCCCCGACCAAGAAGTCCTACAGTCTGAAAAATGATCAAAACGAAAAAACAACCTCGACACCGTAGGGTATAAGAGGAACGGATTAAGTAAGTTAGTTTAGTGGAAAGTTAGATTGTCTTAATGCTCAATCGAGCAAAGCACACGCCCTGACGACGTATGGGGGGAGCGGAAGTATAGTCCCACCATTCTTTACTGCGTCATTAGAGTGAGGTGAGTGCGTACCTTCACGCTCTGGCCGCTATATTCCCAGAGGACGAACCCCTGATAATCATTTGGTGGGAGGCTGGGTGGACTCCAGAGCCAGTTTGGACGCTGTAGATTACAGAGGAATTTCTTTTTCTGGCCCACAATCGATCCCCGGCCATCCAGATCATAGACTGTCCCTACACCAACTCAGTTATCTCGGTACCTTCTTCCCGTTTATCGGTCACCGATGAGATCCTCTGAGATATGTGATTCAGGATTATCTCTGACGCTCTGAATGCTTAAGAGATATATCTGTGCTGAAGAGTTTTATTATCTGTGACAACGCTGAGTAATACAGAGTAGGAATATCTTTTAAAAAGGAGATTCTCTTTGCTTCCTGCTTGGCTTACTATTCGATCCTATAGAATGAGGCGACGTGTTCTTGAGGAACGTCGGTTGATTTTCACCGGCCTGCACGGTATCATATCCCAGATGCGAGAACTCTTCCAAGCCCAACTGTGGCAATGCTTCTTTTTTGGACAGGACATGCAATAATTTATAATTGCTTGAAGGCGTCGTTAACTATGAACAGGTATGAACTCTTTTAATTGTGTGGATTCGGGTAATGTAAGCCATGAATATCAACAGGGTCGAAGCAACAGCACGTGCCAACCAAGCGGCCGCCTGGGGCGGCAGGTACGTGTATACGAAAACTGTTTTTTTTTTTCTTTTTGTTAAATGTAAATTAACCTCTGATACTCTTTTGTTCATGTGATCATCAATTGTCATTAATCTAAATACTGTCACGTAGTAAGTGTGACTACAGACGGGGTTTGGATTGGTAATCGTATTTATTGGACACTTAGGCTCGTAACTACAAAAATAACTACGACAGTCTCACTGAATTACACATTACGAAAATCACTGTAACTACAGAACATATAAAGTTTCTCAGACTTCACCAACCGTTGCTTGATAGCGGCTTCCATAAACTGACGTTCCCCTTCTTCTGAGTTCCCGGACTGTCCCAGTCCTCAGCTACCAGCTTCTCACTTCTCACAACTGTGACTATCAAATGACTCAACGACAATTCAAAGTCAAAGTCACGTTACGACTTACGGTCACTCGACCAGTCAGTCTTGGTGTCAAGACCCCATCTGGGACTCAAGACCAGACTTTTGCTACTACCAGACAATTGCGGGTTTCTTGATGTGGGACACAATCACTGCTGGTCCTCGCCAGCGCAGTCATTCTCGGGTCTGAGTCCTGCGGAACTCATGACATTTTACTGCCTCAGATTGGAGACACATACTTTTATCCCACCGCAACAGGTTGAGCCAGTTATACCCCCAGCCACTGGGTTCGCTTTTCGTTGCCTCCTACGATTCGCAGGGCTACGGTGGAGGTATTTGAGCTTGCCTTCACAGGGAGAAACAGAAATCAAGTCATAGGCAAAGTCAAAATTACTTTACGACTGGCGCTTTATCGTCAATCAGTAAGTCTTGGCCCCAAACCTTTGAGACTCACGACCAGAGATTTTTTCTCGACTGAACCCTTGCAGTCATAGTCCTTATGTAACATGCTCTCTGACGAGAAGATATGTTTGCCTCTCATGTATATGCCTGGTCTTTCGTTTAGTGTAAGCATCGCACATATATAGCATGTTACTGAAAATTCTTTCTTTTGCACTATATACAAGTCCTCTGCCAGCCCAGGCTTTGCAAAGTAGATCATGCCTCTTACGTATCATATCCTACAAGTGCAGGTTAGTCACTTGAACGGCTGTAAGCTTGACCACCGCCAAGTTTAAGCCTCTTCTATTTTCTATGTCTGGCTTCGCCTTGTCCTATGCTGCGAACATGTTCATTCTCATGATTTTGTATGACTTCTGCTTGTTACCTGCACAATTTTGTTATATATATATATATACGTACGGTATGTTGAAAGCCGTGTGCAATTCTCGGAAGGGGTGCACCTTAGAAAATTTCCAGTGGTGCGGAGAACCTTGTTTTGTAGAGGTAAGTGTCTGCCGCTAATTT